TAACTGGTTAGTTGGTTAAATTTACGACATGTCAACCTTTGCTAGGTTATTTAATGGCAGATTGCGTATAGGGTAACGGCTAGAGGATCTAACTTACTAACCAATATCACAGTGGTACATTAATACGATCCCTTTTACTAGTAATACTACTACCACTATAACTACTACTACTAGTACTCAGTCCTGACGATAAACTACATCCAGCAGCAAGGCCTCTTTTCGGGAGATTGGAAGTTTTGAGGAACCTCCTCTTATTATATTATATTATTATTAACGTAACAAACTAAAAAAATTCCAAAATGGCGGCACTGACCGATTATATATATATATATATATATATATATATATATATATATATATATATATATATATTATCTGCGTGCAAAAATTTCCGGCATTGTTTTTTTTTTTTTTTACTTTAACAGTGTATTTATTCTCAAATTTAAAATAAAACCTTTGCACGCACCTGATATTTAGTCAGTGGGTGTAACTTACAATTTATAAATATTCCAGTTAATGCCGCCAGTTCACTCAACATTATTATCAAAGCAGACCAGTACTCGAATCTTTGTCGACCTTAAAAGAACTAAAGTGCAAGCATAAAATCAGTAAGTAAAATCTAATATTATAGGTGCGTTTGGTTATGTCTGAGAAAAGTATGAATACATCTGTTTCTCCCCACAGTCATGAGTTAATTAAAAGAGTAGACTTAAGTGGCAATCATTTTAAGAGGAGTAAAACTCTGAATTGCAAGCCATAGAGAATGGAATAGGATAACACTCCACTTTTTTTCCAAATAATTTATCGCAATTTACAGATAATAAAGAAATATGTAGAGAGAAATTAACGCTTACTACCCGGAAGGTAAACGTGATTTTAAAAAGAGATGGCTTAAACTTACAAACCTTGTTCCTGATTTTTCTGGGCATTAAATATTCGGCTTATTTTTAAAAGCGATCTAGAACAATCTTTTCATGGATTTCACTTGAAAATCTATAAGTTGAGATCACTTCCAGCATTAAAAAAAGGCCTTTTATCCCCATCGTAAACATCATGATTTGGTGTTCCTTTATCAACTCTCAGTGAAAATGGATTTCGTTATTTACATTATTTACGGTCGGACTAATGTCCTAATCTTTGTTCTTATTATCACAGCGTTCCGGGCGTTGTTCCCTGTGTCCATCTTCAGTTTTCTGTCTATCCAGATAATCTACAGCGAATTTCCAATTGTTCCAGTTCTGCTGTCCATGTTTGGTGATATCACGTCTAGTTTTAACATTGTTCAGTTTTTGCAAGTCCTATTTCAAATGAATTACAAGACTGTAGTATTAGTATTAAGAATCTGTCTATATTTCTGAGATGACGTATTGGAACTATTTACACTATTTCCATTGTTCAGACGGTACTTCTTCAAGTGATATGGCCCAGTAGATAAAAGCATTGGTTGAAGTAATCCAGTGACTTGACTCAAAGAGTTCAAAACCTGGCCACAGCAGAGATGAAATAAAAAAACAAACTTGGAGAGTTGAGAGTCTGTCTATATTCCTGAGATGAGGTATTATGTACATTATTTACATTATTCGGACTATTGTCCTCATCTTTGTTGCCATATTTATCACAACGTTTCGGCCGTTGTACGCTCCGGCCTTCTTCAATAAATAAAGGGTTCAGTTCGAAATTCCAACCACCTGAAGAAGGCCGGAGCGTATAACGGCCGAGACGTTGTGATAAATATGGTGACAAAGATGACAATAGTCCGAATAATGTAAATACTATTGGAGAGTTGAGTTACTAAAAAGAATTCACTGAAACTAAGATAGCCAGAAAAGGCATGACACGTGGAACTAGAACAATATACCCTAGTGGATTAAATAAAGCGTTCGGTTCGAAATTCCATCGTATATCTCCTGAAGAAGACCGGAGCGTACAACGGCCGAAACGTCGTGAATATGACAATATGGATGAGATCAACAATCCGGACAATATAAATAGTGTAAATAGTATTAATAATAATACCAGTCTGTATTAATCGCCCCAGGAATTTAAATCACAATTACTATGCCATTAAATTCACTAAGCAACGATTTAATACGGGAGTCGATCTCGAATATAGAACTGGGAGCCTTAAACGTAATGTATTTATTGCTTCGTGATAATTTTCACATCTCTGTCCTCTTTAAAATTACGCAGTCAAACATGAGTTTTTAATCATTAGACCTGACCTTGCTTCGCTAATGAAGAATTAAGTGGAGCTCTGCATCTGTTCCAAACCCTCGGGTAGCCAGTGAAGCTTATGAGGGAGAGACACGTCCCTTCCATAATGGTTACAAGAGAAGGTTTGACAGTTGGATAAAGATACCGTTACACGCCCCTGTTTTGTTTTTGCTCTGAATTTTGCTTCTTGGAAGAAGGTTGCTTCTTACGCATTCAGTAATGATGTCACCGTATTGGCTGCCTCTGTCGGCCATTGAAAATGGTTGATTACATGGGAGCTGGGGGTTCTTTTTAAGGCAACGTCTGTGGAAATCCACTTTGTTCTCGTTCGAATGTTCTACGAACTTGAGAAACAGGCTGCCGAGAGAATGCTTTCCTGACCACTACAACCTTTTCTAGTCTAGCTTCAGCTAATATCTATTTTACATATCCTCATAAAATGCACCCCTTCCGCCTTCCCACTCCCTTAGGCCATTACAAGAATCTCACTCAGTAACCCTTTACCTTGAGTGGGCATTGTATTGCGTGAACTAATTTTTTTTAAAAAGTGACAGTCTTTCATGTGATCTGCCTGCTGCAGCTATGTCTTTAGCAGCATAGCGTCAATGTTTTTCCCTTGGCCATCTTGAGGATTGCAGTTTTAGTGATGCGTAGGAAGACACAAGAAATTCTGGATAACTTGACACCAAAACGTTCTGTTCCGATTCTAGTAACTGTTGAGTACATACTCTTTGCATCTGCTCTGATTTTTGTATGCTTAAGTAAAGTATTAAGAAGTAAGAATTCGTTAAAAACAAAGAAAAGAATATTCACATCATTCGGACTGTTATCCTCATCTTTATTGCCATATTCACGATGTTTTGATCGTTATACGTTCCGGCGTTCGGGTTATATATTTTGGAATTTGGAACCACACGCTTTATTTGGTCCACAAGAGTAGAGTGTTCTAATTCTACATGCGATGCCTTTTTTAGAGGGGGGGTATGTCTTCAGTTAATTCCGTTTAGTAACTCAACTCACCAAGATTTTGTTACTTCTGCTGTGGCCAGGAATTGAACTAACAACTCAGTGGATAAAAGCGTTGGTTGAGTGATCTAAAAAGTGATTTGACCCAAATTGTTGTGAATTCAACACCTGGCTCCAGCAAAGGGAAAGAAAACTTCTAAAGTTGAGTTACCAAAGGGAATTGACTGAAACTGAGATATCCACCCCCGACAAAAAAAAAGAAACAAAAAGAATTAGAACAATCTACGCCCGTGGACTAAATAAAGGGTTCAGTTCAAAATGACAACGTATATCACCTGAAGAACGCTGGGGCGTAAAACGGCCGAAACGTCGTGAATATGGCAATAAAGACGAGGACAACCGTCCGAATGAAGTAAATATTTACAATACGTCATCTCTGAAATATAGACAAGGAAAAGAGTGCTGAACTACTGTATATCCTGTTATATGGTAGTGTATGCTGGACAGTCTCTTTACAGATGAAGAAGAGACTTGAAGCAACAGAAATGTTGTTCTACAGAAGGATGCTGAGAACTTCATGAGTAGAGATGTTTTAATGATAATGAAGACAAAATGACCCTTATGATTAGAATAAGAGACATTTTAAATTACTAGGACACATAAATAATTTTGGAGAATTTGACACTCACAGGACCTACGGGAGGCAAGATGGACAGAAGAAATTGAGTTTCTGAAAATTGATAGCCGAACAGGGAAAAAAAACAAACATTACTAAGATATACAAAAGAAGGATGGGGAGAAATGAAAAGGCATGATCGCCCACTCCCTGAAGAGACACGACAGATACAAAACGAAGAATAATACAATTATAATACATATGAGGCCATCGGAGCCCAAAATATTGACACAAGTCCAAATATCCTCTGGTTAATTTCTAGGAAGGTATCCTTTCTAGAATGGTATCCTAAACATTTGAGGGAAGATATCCTTTCTAGAAGGGTATCCTAGACATTTGAGGGAAGATATCCTTACTAGAAGGGTATCCTAGACATTTGAGGGAAGATATCCTTTCTAGAAGGGTATCCTAGACATTTGAGGGAAGATATCCTTTCTAGAAGGGTATCCTAGACATTTGAGGGAAGATATCCTTTCTAGAAGAGTATCCTAGACATTTGAGGGAAGATATCCTTTCTAGAAGAGTATCCTAGACATTTAAGGGAAGATATCCTTTCTAGAATGGTATCCTAGACATTCGAGGGAAGATATCCTTTCTAGAAGGGTATCCTAGACATTTGAGGGAAGATATCCTTACTAGAAGGGTATCCTAGACATTTGAGGGAAGATATCCTTTCTAGAAGGGTATCCTAGACATTTGAGGGAAGATATCCTTTCTAGAAGGGTATCCTAGACATTTGAGGGAAGATATCATTTCTAGAAGAGTATCCTAGACATTTGAGGGAAGATATCCTTTCTAGAAGAGTATCCTAGACATTTGAGGGAAGATATCCTTTCTAGAATGGCATCCTAGACATTCGAGGGAAGATATCCTTTCTAGAAGGGTATCCTAGAAATATCTAGATCCTCTTTCCTTTTAATATCTCTATATCTTCCCATCTTTTATAAATGCTATTCTTCAGAACGCATACTGTTTCATGGTAGTTGATGCCCTCACTTGGGTTGGTATACTGGCTATCAACGGCCACCTATTCTGACGAGAAAATTTCGGTGTTGGAGAGCTTAAAATCGCCACGAAAGGCCGAAGATAACTCGAAAGTCCATCGCATATTGGCCTCACTTCAAAGTCAAATCAAACAAGATTTATGTCTTTAGTCTTCTCGGCCAACGTCATTTCTTTCTGCCGGAGCTCATCGATAAGCAATTTGTTTCTTCTCTTCTTATTCTTCGTTTTTCCGTCCCTTTTTCTTTCATCTCTTTCTTTTCTTCTTTTTTTTTTTAATTATTCTACCTTCTTTTACCTTTTCTTTTCACTCTTTCTTTGTTCATCTTTTTCTTGTCCTTACTTTTTTCTCTTTATTCTTTTTTGCTATTCTCACTTTTCTTTGTTCACTTTTATCTTTTTCTTTTCTCCTCCTATTTTCTCTTCGACTTCTCCTTTACCTCTCGTATTTATTTTTTCTTTTTACCTGTTCTTTCTTTCTTTCTTTCTTTCTACTTATCCTATTTCTTTATTCCCTTCTTATTTTATTTTCTCCTCCCTACTTTCTTTTATCCTTTCTTTCTCTCCTTCTTTCTATCTCACTTTCATCTACACTTTTTTTCTCTTTTTCTCTTACTCTTCATTATTTCTCTTCTTTTCCTATTTGACATACTTCTTGTCTCTCTTTTCCCTCGTTGTTATTTTCTTTTCTTTTTTTAATTTTCTACTATTCTTCTCTTTCTTTCTTTCTTTCTTTCTCGCCCACTGTCTCTTCTCCTCTTTTTCTTCCTTTCGCTTTACTTTTCGTTGCCGGTCTTTTCAACTAACCTACTAGCAACAAGACGTTCCTTCTGTACGTCATAATCAATTACCTTATCAAGCGGCTCCTAATTAAATCATCTAGAAATCTGATCCGGACGAAGCACCAGTGGTTCTACTGTTCAACTTTGCGCGCCCTTTGGCATACAGTCAGACTTGAGCAAACAGATGAAACAGATCAGTTACTAATCATTAATACTGTCAGACAAAAATTTTCTTGCTTGTCTCCATCAGAGGACTTCAGTTGTGTCCTGATGCAGGAACATAGATATACAAAATACATTTCTTCGTGCGTGTATAAAAACGTGATAAACACAGACACACACACACACACACATATATATATATATATATATATATATATATATATATATATATATATATATACATATATATATATATATATGTATATATGAACATTGAAATCAACACTTAGAGACGACAGGCTGTTTTCATGCTAGACGTAATCGTCAGGCCACGAGTCGCCTCTAAATGTTGACTTCAATGTTCACTTTTACATTTACACACGCTCTATCTCTGATATTGACCACTTTATCCCATAAATATAGCACATCTTAAGAGTAGATTTCTTCATATATATATATATATATATATATATATATATATATATATATATATATATATATATTTGGTTGGATTGATGTGAGTTTGTAAGAGTTTGTCTGACGATCGCAAAAGCGTGAAACCCTGGGTTACAAACTCACATCAATCCAACCAAATATGTTAACTCTATCTCTAATATTGAGCGCTTTCCAATAAGTACGGCGCATATAATATATAAATAAATATATATATATATATATATATATATATATATATATATATATATATATATATATATATATATATATATACACATTTTTTATATTTTATATATATATATATATATATATATATATATATGTTTCATGAATGACGACTGACAAGGTTCTGCAATTTATTTTTTGTATTCAATCTTTCTTGTGCTCGTATAAGGGTCATCTTTTCTATGTGTAAGAACTGTCCAAATTTTCTATATATCCAAGTGCTTTCTGCTATTCTATTAGCCATGATCAAGGTTTTTTTTTAATTATTTTAATAGAATATGTAGATTTTTATATTTGTGTATATATAGTGATATTGGACGTACCACTACATGCCTATCAAGAAGACTCACGTTATAGCTTTCTGATCATAGCTCAATTAGGACTAATTTAAACAAACACGGATACCTACTAAAATCCGTCCGCAACATAATCGTAGATAATACAACTATAACAGCCTCAGCCACAATTAAATTAATGTAAGCACGTGTTGACCGGGTATGGAAAATAAAATAACATTCTAATCACTATTTTGGAGCAAACCTTCATTTCTTTAAAGAAACAACTTAAAATGATTTTTTTTTCAAGTAAAGGATAAACTTTCAGTAACTACAATGTATTAATTTTTTATTTTTTTCAGTCTTACTCCGGTCTTTTCTTACTAACAAAATGTTCAAATTTGGATTCATCAGTTCCCAGTACATTTTGCTAAATCATGAATATTTTGTATAAGAAAGTTTATATTTTGTTTTCACCATTAATCCCTCAGTAAACATTTTTAGATTACCATACAGACTGGAGATTTGATTCAGATCAAGGGAATCAGGAAAGAAGAATATCATTCTATTTTTCAAACGCATAATATACCATCTGGTTTACGCGTCATTGGAAAATAATTCACTTTTCAGCGAACCAAAACACTCTTTTAAATTATGTCAAAATTAACTGGTTAAAAAACAAAAAAAAAAAAAAAAAACAAAGGAGAAAAGTTTGGGAAATTATAACTTGGGCATCTCAATCTCTTAACCTCTCTACAACTGAATTAGTATGGGATGAATTGGATAGGAGAGTTCAAAAAGAATAACCAAAGAGTGAGTGTGAGCTTTCTCAGTGCTTGAAGAATACTTGGGAAGGTCTGGAATCTACTTATTTTTTAAATGATGGAAAGAATACCAAGAATTTGTAAAGCAGTAATTAAGGCAGGTGCTGATTTTATTGACGAAAACAAAATATGGTGTTGAATGATATTTTTTTAATAGGTAAGTGCTTATCTTTTTGTCAGAATAAAAGCAAATACACTGTAGTCACCGAAACTTTATCTTTTACTTAAAAAATACAAAGGCATTTCTCGTAGTGTATATACATTTACATATATACATATATATATATATGTGTGTGTGTGAGTACTTCAAGTAAATGTTTGTGCAAGAAGACTGAGATGAAGGAGAAAGCTAAATTAGAACTAGTTACAGATACTTGTCAGTTATCAATATTTTATTTGAAAAATCAATGTAGCGGATTTGGTTAATGTTTTTCGTTATATTTTTTCATACAAGGCTTAGGTTGCTAATCAAATATTGATTATCTAAAAATTCTGTCTTAGGGAGCAAACTTTGTTCTGTTTTGTACACACTTATTTAACTAGTCAGAGAGTGAGATAGAGAGAGTGAGAGGGGGGATAGAGAGAGAGTGAGAGGGGAGATAGAGAGAGACAGATGTGAAGAAATTTGGACAATTGGCTTCGATTGCGGATGTTTCGCGGTGAATAATTTGGTAAAATCATTCATTCAGACTTCTCTGCATTTCGTCTCTTGACACAATCGTTTCTGGTCTGCGACTATGAAGCAAAATGTTTTTTTTTTATTTAAAAAATAGTTTCTTATTTTTTTAATTGTTGAAGTTAAATGTATTTCTCCCATCCAAATCTTTTTGCAAAACTAAATATATAAAATAAGATTTTGAATATAGACAAACAAAATCTAAATAAACATTTGAAAACATAGGATCAATGAATGTAATGGCGGCATAATAGTAAATTATATAAGACAGTAAATATTCCGCCAGAAAATAAATATTATCAACATTAAATGAACAGAATATCATCATAAGAATAACAATCATTAACAAATAAAACTAACATAAAAACATACATTAAGATAACATAACCATATAGTAATGATGATAATACCGTAATAAAAGTAAAGAAAATATAATATATTAAAACAATAATAAAATAATATAGTAAAACGAAATAAAATATAATCATAAAATGTATATCAATTCAAATATTATTTAACTGAATAATCACAATATAACAATATTACTAATATATATATATATATATATATATATATATATAAATGTGTATATAATATTAAATATATATATATTTATATATATATATATAAGATATAAAATGTATATAATATAAAAAATAAATATATCAATATATAAGGTAATATTAAATATAATAAAGGTATAAATATGTAAATATAATAAAATTATATAATAATTATAAATAATTAATAATTAATAAAATATATATAAAATATAATAAATATAATATATACTGAATATAATTATTAAAATTAATATAAATTCAAATATAAATTTAATATAAATTTAAATTTAATATAGAATACCATATAAAAATATAATAGATAATTATCACATGAAATATAATAAATAACTATAATTCATAAGTAAAAAAATATCATAAATATATTTATTTTAAAATGAAATATAATACTCTACTAAATATATAATAAAAAATATTGTAATAAAAAATACCATAAATAGAATAATTGGATTGGTGATATGTCTAAAGGTTTACAGATTCCTGTGTTTAAAACTGTTATATGTCTAACAATCAATGTTAGCTTTTCGGCCAGACTTATATTGAGACCGATCTGGAAGGATGTTCCACCTCCCCATCATATCTATTTTCGAACTGACCAATCCAAATGTTGATGTGACGCTGACTATGTACGTAGAATTGGTAAAAAGATTAAAGCAATCCATGTACCAGTAATTATTTGCAACGGTGATGTGTTCAATTTTCCTAACAGCGTGAATACAACTGGATTTGGCGATAGCTGAACATTTGCCTGGTCTTGCAACCTTCTCAGTACTAAGGAATGTTAATACGGAATTTCATTGGAAGATATTGTAATCTGTTTAGATTAGGTCCGATCAGCTATCACTTTAACAGGAATGATTACTGAGCATAAAGTTAATTAGATTTTGGTAAGCATAAAGGTAAATAGATTTTTATAAGTAATATTTGGTGTTTTTTCAGTCGCAATACACATTTTTTTACCTTGATTTCGCACAGATGAGGGAGGAAAAATAAGTTTTTTTTTTTTTGTTAACAATGTTGCATTTCGATATAAATAATTTACGGCGCTATAATGTTATTGACTCTCTTTTATTTTATTAATTTAATTCTTTTAATATGTCTGTTTTTATCACTTTATAACATTTTATACGTCTGCAGAAATATTCCTATAGAATAAAGAACTATAATAAACAAATAAATATACACACGTCATATATATATATATATATATATATATGTGTGGGTGTGTATATACATACATACACACACACACATATATATATATATATATATATATATATATATATATATATATATATATATATATATATATATATATAAAATAAATTCTGATAGAGCAGCGACCGGCCACAACTGTTAGTTTTATGCGCAGCGCTCAGTCTGTGTCTGTGCTCGAAAATAGTCACCATTATCCACCCAGGTGAATTTTAGATGCCAAGATCCATAGTCGGTAATAACGCTGACCAAACTCGCCTCTAAATGTTGACTTCAATGTTCACTTTTACATTTACACACGCTCTATCTCTGATATTGACCACTTTATCCCATAAATATAGCAAATCTTAAGAGTAGATTTTTTCATAATATGTTAGCTCTATCTCTAATATTGAGCGCTTTCCAATAAGTACCGCGCATATAATATATAAATAATTATGTATATATATATATATATATATATATATATATATATATATATATATATATATATATATATATATTTCATGAATGACGACTGACAAGATTCTGCAATTCATTTTTTGTATTCAATCTTTCTTGTGCTCGTATAAGGGTCATCTTTTCTATGTGTAAGAACTGTCCAAATTTTCTATATAT